ATGAACAGCAGGGACCTGTGAGGAGGTTAAAACAGAAAGGTTACCAGTGACCTGGGCTGGATGGGTTTCCTTCCTGCTATGGGAGCCAGTGTCACTCAGCATATGCCGATCCATTCAGGCTAAAAATGGGGCTGGAGGGATGGCCTCTCGAGAACTTCCTGTTTTCGCAGAGGATGCAGTACCCACATGGCAGCTCACAGTTGTCTATCACTCTAGTCCCAAGGGATCCAATGCCCCCTTCAAACTTCCAAGGGCGCCAGACACGTGCGTGAGCAAAATGTTCACACACATTAAAAAAAATCCACCACCTCCCACAAGCTGGCTCCCACTTCCTTCACCAGCCAGACAATACACAAAGGGCAGCGTTTACTGGCTCTCTGCAAACACCCGGAAATTCTCAAACCTATAATTGGCCACAGCGTTTCCTTGAACCCTGATGTCCTCTCTCAGATCTACAAACCCAAATTCCAACCGGCTCAAATGCCTTTCTCCCTCGGTCTTCCCAGGAGCCTCTGCACAAAGCCCTCACCACCTGCTGTCATTAGCTTTGCTTCTTTATAAAATAAGTATCTCAAAGGCTTTTCTTATAGTTATTCCTCAGCCTGTCCATTCCTTACAGCAAACACACCCATTTCGACTCCTCCCTGCCTCTTGGCACACGTTGTGGCTGAAGATCTTGATTAATTAGTAAAGTTAGGAACCCAGATAAGGAAGACAGGAGAGTTGATTCTGCATCTTCACTTGGCCGTTCCTTAGTTGTATGTCTTTCAATAAACTACTTAACCTATGTTTCTGTGTATTTATTCATAAGTGAAGAACAGTACATATATATATATATATATATATATATTCCATAGGCAGCCACAGGATGGGTTTACAAGAGTACTGATATTATAAAAGCACCCACTAGATACCTTATAAAACAAAAATCACTTCTCAGGGTAGCAAACTCCTGAATATTTTGTGATAGTTGCGTAAAGCTTCACTACAAAGGCAAGGTTTTAAAAACAATCAAACATAAAGCTGAAGTTTAAGAAAAATGAATACATGCAAATTCTTGCTAAATCATCCTATATGTGGCCTAGGGGTTGGCTGTGACTTTTTAAGGCACAATTTTGCGACATTTTCTTATTTGGCGCGTGTATGTGCTTGTCCATGCCACGGTGCACACTGAATGCCAGAGGACAATCCACGGAAGTCAGTTCTCCCATTCCATCGTCTGGGTCTCAGGAACCAAACTCAGGTAACAGGGGCCATTACCCAGGGAACCTCTCCTGCATCCAGCTGTGACTTTTACAGTCTTAGTTCTTGAGAATTTAAGTTCCTACGGTAAATAGCCACCTGAACCCGTCTCCCTGCAAGCGGAACGTTTTCCCAGTGCTGCCAAACCCTCCATTTTATCCCTCCGGTTTAATCATCTTTGGATCTCATACAAAGTCGCCCTAATCCTCCCAACCCTGTCCCCAGCTTCATCTCTCAAAACTCACAGCAAAACCCAACCTAGCCAGTCACATATCGGAGGCTTTCTGTGCGCCACGCCCATGGGCTGCAACACCTACTTGTTTTCTGGGGCTGCAAGGATGAAATACCACGGACTGCACAGGTTAACGAGCAAGTTTTATCTTCTCTTAGTTCGGGGAGCCAGAAGCCCAAAATTCAGGTTTGGTTTCTCCCGAGGCTTCTCTTCTTGGCCTTGATAATGTTATAGGCTCCTTCCTATGCAAGTGTATCTTTTTTGTGTCCAGTCCTTTTTTTTTTTTTTCTTGTAAGTATACCTGTCGGACTGCATAGAATTCCCTTTTACGGTCTCATTTCAACTTAATCTCCTCAGAAGCCCTACGCAAATATAGTTACATTCTGGGGCAACGAGGGCTAGGTAGGGTTTCCAGATAAAAATCCTCAGAGGACATAATTGAGCCCATGACAGTTGCTACCCCTTTCTCTGCCCACGCTAACGCCCGTCTGTTTTTCCAAAACTGGCCCAAACCTTCCCTCCCAGCTGATGCAGTGCCCTGTGTTCCCAGTCTCTGGACACTGCTGTCATGTTGCTCAAGACACTAACATAACTCCCCCTCTCTTCTCCATATACATAAGGATATAACAGTGAAGATTATATCCTGATAACCAGGACAGTGATACAGAAAATATTTAATAAAGACTTGATGAGAAGTAAAGAGAAGAACATGGACCCTGAAGTAAAAGATATATATATAGGCTCAAATCCTGACTCCATTGTTTCCCCACGAATATAGGAAAGTCATTTAATGTTGACTCTCCATTCTAAATAAAGTAGTCGTAACGACGACACTGGAGTTAAAATAAGACTCCTCAGCCACGGTTTTGTTACACAATTAAGAGCTTTCATGTTGAAGCAAAGGTTTGACCATGGCTGGTGTGACAGCCACTTCTACCGTTCAGTGATTAAATAACTTTGTTAATATTCTTCTGCTTTAGCTGTCTATCTGTTAAGAGCCAAACCCCCTATGGTGCTATCGTGGCAATAACCAGGTAAAGGATTCCGTGGGGGTATGCAGCAAGTGCATTATTTTATGTTTCCTGTTATTGCTATTGCAAGAACACTGCAGGTCTGAACAGATATGACGGACGTCCAATGCGACTATCGCTTCAAGGTCTCAGGTTTCTTTCCAGCTAAATATAGTAGCTTAATGAGGTTCAAAAACTGGTCCAGGGACAGCAAGGTGGCCTAGAGATAAAGGTGCGTGTCACCAAGACTGACAACCTGAGTCTGATCCCCAGGACCCACACGGTAGAAAGAGATAACCGAATCCCTACAAGTTGTCCTCTGACCTCCACTGGCGCTCATGCATGAAGGCTCCCAGGCACACAGTCACAGCAACGAACACACAAATGCAGTTTTAAAAACTAGATGGGCACGGTAGCGCACAACTTTAATCTCAGCACTCAGAGAGGCAGAGGCAGGTTGATCTCTGTGAGTTCCAGGCCAGTCAGGGCTACAGAGTGAATCACTGTCGAAAGAAAGGAAGAAAGAGAGAGAGAGAGAGAGAGAGAGAGAGAGAGAGAGAGAGAGAGAGAGAGAGAGAGAGAGAGAGAGAGAGAGAGACAGAGGGAGGGAGGAAGGAAGAAAGGGAGGGAAGGAAGGAAGCAAAGAGAGAGAGAGAAAGAGAGGGAGGGAGGGAAGGAAAGAAAGAAAGAGAAAAGGAGGGAGGGACAGAGGGAAGGAAGGAAGGAAGGAAGGAAGGAAGGAAGGAAGGAAGGAAGGAAGGAAAGAGCTGGGCGGGCGCATGTCTTTAATCCCAGCACTCGGGAGGCAGAGGCAGGCGGGTCTCTGGAAGTTCAAGGCCAGCCTGGTCTACTAGAGCTAGTTCTGGGACAGGCACTAAAGCTACAGAGAAACCGTCTCGAAAAACAAAGAAAGAGAAAGAAAGAAAGAAAGAAAGAAAGAAAGGAAGGAAGGAAGGAAGGAAGGAAGGAAGGAAGAAAGAAAGACAGACAACCACAACAAACTCAAAACAAAAAATGGGAACCGGACAGATGATATAAGCAAGCTGTGGCTGAGAAACCAGCATGAACTGCGATGCTACCGGTAATCTTACATCTCCAATGTCGGCTTTAACTTATTTAGGGCAGGGAAATTAAAAAAAAAAAAAGGCAAGTTTCCCTAGTCCCTGTGACTATGATGTTACGCATCCATAGTGAACCATAAAACCCAACCGCTGGAAATGACCTTTGTGGTACATGCCCGATCCTATAATTTTTTTCTTCTTTACATAAGTACATCCAGGAGGATTTGGAATGAGCTCTTCGTGTCTTAATAAGCAGTTCTAGGAGGGGCAAAACGAGCTGACAGAGTGTATACAATTTGTTCAGGGTACTAAAGTAGGGGTTATGGGTTGATCCCTGTCCAAGGTATGATGGAACTCTTGCTAGCAAACAATGTGGAAAATTCTTTTCAACCACCAGTATAAAAGATACCTGATTCATAACCCTGAAGCAGATCAAGTGGAGATTTAAATCTTCACCAGTTACGTCAAGTTTTCTGAGCTTCACGTTATTGGCTTAAGTGGTTACGGGAACCACGCAACATACCACTCTGAAATGGTGTCTCGCGGGTTTCAAGTATTCAGATGCTGGTTGTTCCATCGCACAAATAAGAACACGGAAGACTTAAAGCACCGTCTTTCACAGAGCCATGTTACGGGAGGGTTAAAGGTCTGAGACTTGTTGGATACTACTTAATTTTAAAAATAGAAAGCTGGATAGTTGCTGGGATGATAAAGTGCTTTGAATTTTGCCCTTCCTACCACCCAGCGTCCTTCAGAATTTGTTTCCCAGTGTCTGGTCCACCATCACTAACAGGCTACATGGATATCACTGTAGCTCAGACTTTCGATAGAACAGCAAAGGGTTGAAGGCCACAAGAATTTTTACTGAGGTAGAGCAAGAATTCTGAGTCCAGTTCATTCTGTTCCGTGGTCCATGTAAGCTAGGTGAATTACCAAAGAAAAATTACCATCTTTCCTGATGCAGAAAAATGTGCAAAAGCAGGCCATCGATTTCACTACCGTAATTGTGATTTTTTTTTTTAAAGTGGGACGCAAAAGTTTTGGCAATGATAAGGACACCTGCTATTCTTATCGCTTCGACCTAAGTCTACTTTTTCTTTTTTTCCTGTTAAAAGACATGTGACGTTTGGCTCCCCGTTTACACCACAGATGGCCACCGAGAGCTTAAGGTTTATCGTCCAGACACTAAAGCCTCTCATTCTAAAACGGCAGAGCTCCAGATGGGAGCTGTCTGGCAGAGGATGGGAAACTGCCCATCTTCAGAGGTGCCGATGGGGGCGAATCCGGAGGCTAGACCCCAGCACACATCACTTTGCACAGATCCTTGGGAAACATCCCTTTCCCATCTCGGAGCGTGGAACTCCCACGAGTGACCTCCGGGGACCGGAGGGACCCAGGGCAGAAAGGGAGAAGTTGACAAGGGCAAGTCCGAGTCGCGCGCGGGAGGTTACTCACCGCGATGGCCCGCCGTCCTCGCTCCTCCGCTCACACTCGCTGAGGAGGAAGAAGCCCCTAATGCTGCCACAGCCTGAGAGCTGCAGCCGAAGCTGCCGCCGCCGCAACTACCACAGTCCGGGCGTGGCAGGGGACTGGCGGGCGGCTTCACCTCATCACTCGGCGACCTTGGATCTGCAGTGACGCCGGGTCGACGGCAGCACCCACCCAGCTAGGGAAGCTCGGGGACCCACTTTCCCAGAAGCCTTCGGGGCCCCGGCGCACGGCCCGCTGGGAACTGTAGTTTCCTTTCAGTCCCGCCTACAGCACGGAGGCTCCACCTCCCCACCGAGCTGGAAGGTGGAGGCGCGGCGGGGCGGAGCGGCGGGCCCCGACCCCGTCGGGGTGGGGCGGATCCCGTCCCGGCCGGTTACCCGGGGCTGGGACAGAGGTCCAGGCCAACTGGCCTTGTCGCGATCGTGCTACGCTTCTGCGCCCTGAGGCCCGCGCTGGGAGCGGGCCTGGCGTTCTTGCCTCGTTCGTCCTCGAGGCAGGTCCCGGGGCTTGCACGCGTCGCAGCCCCTCAGCGCCCGCCGCCTGGAGCCGCTGGCCTTGATCGCAGCCGGGGTAATGAGGGGAGACAGGCGGGCGGGGGACGGTGCAGGGATCCCCGGGGGTGGGTGACGGGACGGTGCACAGCTCGGTAGGTGCACAGCGGAAACCTGCGAGGCCTGAGCTGGGCGAGCAGTGGCCGTAGTCACAGCGCACCGGGGCCGCGGTGCCCGGGTGTCCAGCGGCGGTGCAGGGTTCAGGAGCCCAGCCGATTCTCACCTTTGGTGGTGCACGCAGGCCTGGCGACTTCCCAGCCCGAAGACACCCTCTGGCCCGAGCCCCGTCTGCTCGGATACTTCGAAGGGACGGACCTTTTCCAAAATTAAATGCCCAGGCGTCGTTTTTGTCTTCAGTATTTACATGTGGTGTTGTGTTTCCCCGTCATGGGTTTGTTTGTGTCGAATATCTTTCCTCCAAACTTGATCACGATTTGTGACAGTACCAACCTGGCACGGTGTTTGGCACTCCGTGTAAATACTTGTTGAAACCCTGAGTCATGATACTAAGTTTGCAAGATTCTACTGAGCTACCTGTGTGCATCGTTTTAATCTTTGTTAAGGTTTTATGAAATTTCAAGATCACCTTGAAAATGACCATAATTTTGAAGCTTCACAAAGAGAATTGGCAGGGTTTTGTTGTTGTTGTCGTTAGCATTTCCTGAAACAGTAGACCATTGAATGCCTAGATTAACTCAAAACCCAAGTCTTGTAAATACATAGGCCCTTTGGGGTCGTTAACATTTCAAATGAGAGTCTATTGATATGCACGTCCATGTTATGAAACAAATTAGATTATTTATAAAGCTTTATTGTAATAGCTTTTTAGGTACAACTGCATTTAGGAATACAGGCTTCTTAAATTTATATACATATGCATACACACTCATATATATTAAAGACAGGATCACACTGTGTAGGTAGCCCTGGCTGGCCTAGAACTCACAAGGATCTGCCTGCTTGTGTCTCTGCCTCTTGAATGCTGGAATTAAAAGCATGTTCCATTAAGCCTCAGCAAGCTCCCCCCACTTTTTAAATTTTTCTTTCTTTTTCTTTTTTAGCATTTAAAAATCATAGTGTAATAGTGAAAGCTAACAGCAAATCTTTCGTTCAGTTCCTTTGTCTGGTACAACCGCTGTCTCGACCTCAAAATGTCTTGTAAAATTAACTGTTAGTAGTGTGGTCTATCCAAGGCGGAAACGTCTGAGATTAAACCATCCCACAGAAGCAATTCTTTGGGTAGCAACAGTCCTAGAAGATTGTGACCTGCATCCCCCCCTCCCCCGATTGTTTTATTGTTTAAAGCAACCAACTCAGTAACAACTTGCTGATCCTGAGTGAAAAGGAGGGGTAGAATCACACTAACCACAAAATGAAGTTAAGCATAGCATCTTTCTGCCTCAGGTAAAGCCAGCAGCTAAAGGGTAGGGGGCACTGTGTGGATTCCTAGTGGAGTCTTCAGTGCTCAGCGCTGTCTGGCTCACAGTGCCTAAGCCTGTGGCGTGAATACAAACTCCTTGTGTGTGGTTTCTTTTATTATTTAGATATCTTTTCAAAATAGATAATAAAAGTAAGCTTTTACTGTCTCACAAGTAAAATATTTCCAGTTATTCAGATATTTTTTCTTAACTTGTTGCACTTGTTTTTTTGTTTGTCTTTTTTTTTTTTTTTTTTTGTGAGACTGTTTCTACTGGTAGCCTTGGTTGTCCTGGAACTAGCTTTGTAGATCAGACTGGCCTCCAATTCAGAGATCCGCCTGCCTCTGCCTCCTAGTGCCGGGATTAAAGGCGTGCACCACCCTCACGTGAGTTCAAGGCCAGCCTGGTCTATAAGAGCTAGTTCCAGGATAGACTCCAAAGCTATAGAGAAACCCTGTCTTGAAAATAAACACGCACACACACACACAAACAAAAAACAATGTATACATTTATTGATCTCAGTCATACTGGAGAGCAGGCTGTGCAGGAATCGCTGCCTTTAAACCGCCCCCCACCCATCATAACTTGACAATAATGCTTGCCTGAGAACAAAATAATCTTAAATTTTCTCCTCCTTCTTCCCCTTTCTATACCTTTGGCTTATAGTGGATACCCTGTGAAAATCCACATCTTCCCTCAGCAGTAAAATTAGATAATATTTTATAACACTTATGGTCTCATTTTTCTTGGCTATTTGTAGATACCTTGATCAAATATGGTATTTGACTAAACTGAGATCATGAAACCCAGTTTCAAGAGATGATGTTTAGAAGGAACAACCACTACACATGCTGCCCTCGCTATCGGAGAAGACCCAGAAAATCATGGTGGTGGTCTTGTAGCTCCTTGAATCTGAAGACATTACCCTGCTAAAATTCCAACTCTTGTTAAAAACGGACAGGAGTTGTTTGCATAATAATATACATAATAGAATGTCTCTCAACACATTCTAAGTTGAATACAGTTGAGGATTAAAAATCAAGGTTAAAAGAGTCAACCTATGAAAAACGTCATTTTTTACATGAAAACTAAGAAGTCTCTTTTTGAACATGTGGCAGCAAGAACTTTTCATTTTAGCCCAGCATGAGTCCTGCTTTGGATTTGTGACTTTTAGGCCCCAGCTGAGGTAGTAGGCAGTTGATTGGTCAGCGTTCTTTGGAGACTCTCAAAGTCTGCGTGTAAACGCAATCACTAAAGATCCCGAGGATTTGTTTGTAAGCGGCCGCACTTATATAAGGATGGTCCGAAATTGCTTCTCTATGTAGCATTTCTGTTTATACAGGACGGAAAAGGATAGGAGAGATGCAGTATCTTCAGACTTTGGAGATAGTAAGAAGCTCTCTTTAGCTTTCTGCCTTTTGGGAGCCACGTCAAGGCTTACTAAAGACAGCTCAAGGGTGTCCCTAGCCTAAGCTGCTGATAAGTTACGTCATCTAGTTCTTCGAGAAGTGTAAGTAAGTCTAAGCAATTGTGCTTTTGTTTTTATAGTAGGATATCTCGGCGCCTTGAAGATAAAGCCGAACTTGTCTTTGTTTGAAATAGATGGAATTTTGTCACTTCCTGTGAACTAAAGCGATTCAATGTCTCTTTTGGTAAGTTTTGTTACAATTTTATGCCACCGGAGTAGTGAGATCGAGAACAAAGGACAGTCATTCAGGTTTACTCACTGGGATGTTTTGACCTGAATGATGTGTGGCCTTGAGGATGATGTAAACTCTCAATAATAAGTTTTGTCTTTTTCAAAAAGAGTTTCTCCTATACTTTCTTTCTAAATATGCTCATTATTACAATTCTTTGTCCCAAACTGAATTTTTCTCATATATTTTTCTTAAAATCTAGTTTTTGTTTGTTTTTGTTTTTTCAAGACAAGGTTTCAGGGTAGCTTTGGTGCCTGTCCTGGAACTAGCTCTTGTAGACCAGGCTGGCTTTGAACTCACAGAGATCCGCCTGCCTCTGCCTCCCGAGTGCTGGGATTAAAGGCGTGTGCCACCACCGCCTGGATTAGAGTCTAGTCTTATCTCATAAACTATGCATTATCTTTTAAAACTTCAAAGGATCCCTTTTATAAATTTCTTTGTGTCCCAAGGCAGGTAAGACAGGTAAGATAGCATTTAAAATAAACCTTTGACTTAATCAGATAAAAAAATTGAATCGTTGCATCATATAAACTACAGATGGAATTTATTTGTTTGTATATTAGATACATGACATCTGTTTTCAGTTAAGTAGCTTGGGGACTTTCTGTCATATACAATATAGTATTTGAAGAAGGGGTTTGATATTAAGACCGTGATCCTGCTCTTTAAAATTGTGGGGCTTAGCAGGACGGGCAGCAGCTTCCTCATTTGTGTTGGCTCGTGGTTGCCAAAGATTAGGGCAAGTGTTCAGACTCATGCCTGCCGTCCTACCCTTCCAGGATAGGATAGGAAGTCAGGAGACTATAGCTTCAAAGCAGCCGTGGATAGTGGATAGTGCGGAAGTGAAAAACTAAAACCACCGAAACCCTGAACACATACCGACCATCCTTCATAGACCCCTGTGCTAAAGGGATTTTAGGATTTACAGTTTTATATCCTTTTGCCAGGAAGATTGGTGATGCCCTTTTCAACAGTTCCTTCATCTGAGTGATGAAGACTCTGAAATCCGGATTTCTAAATTCAATGTAAAATAATTAATAGATTGGCCTAGCTGAAAAATACTAGTTTGATTGTTGAGAAGTTTTGGTATATTCTACAAAAACCAGAATTTGATTTCTTTTAAGGAACTGACAGTCTGGTGTTGGCAGAAGGGGGTGGACTCTGAGGCTCACTTGTTGCTGTCTTTCAGTGCTCATACGTGTGAGGGTTGATGAGGTGCTTGATATCACTTATTTTGAAAGTCTCATAGAATGTGCTTATACTTTCCTTTGGGCTTTTTCCTTCCTATCACGTGGTCAGTATCATTCCACTAATTGTTGATGGAACAGACAACATGCAAACATTGTATTTCGTTATAGGTAATAGCTGATAGTAGAACCGTGTGTTGATATTCAGGGAATTGTAAATTTTGGTAATAGAAGAAGGTCTCTTAATTTGCTTTGAGTTGAACACGTTTGCCACCTTAAGAAACAGAATTGGTTACAAATATATTCAATGTGTTTATAATTAAATAAATGGT